AAAAAAAATGTAACTGGTTTCTCACTCTCGCAACTCGGCCATTTTCTTCTCCCACGTTTCTTGTGCCGATTGTCGATATTCGACAAACTGTTGCTTAAAAAAGTTTGAAGACTAGTAAAAATAAAACTCGGGAAGATCTTTGTGGTTTGCATTGTTTGTTATGGTAAATGGAGAAAATTAGTTAAACATACCTTAGTTTTAGTATGAGCCCGTTGTTCTAGTTCAACTTGATGCTGGATGTTCTTCAACTCGTCGGCATGTCTGAAGAAGTTCAAAGAATGACTGTGAGTGAGATCGCAGGTTTCAAAATATGAGGTATACAAAAACAAGGATAATTATAGCAATGATCAGTTTTTGTTGATACTACAACTAAGTCCGTAAGTCTAGCTTTAAGTTATCTGTACTTACCGTCTTTTCAATTTGTTTATCTCTTCTTCTCGTTTTTGCTCTACTTTTGAATTTGCTTCTTCTTTTTGAGCAGCAACCCCCTAAAAAATATATGATTAAATCTACGTGCAATTTTTACATTTGCTTCTTCCTCAATCCGAAAGTGATTCAAAACAAACAAGCGCGCAAACTAGTACAGGCCGCTATACGATCTTATCCGTTCACCTTCCAACTATCTACTTGATACTGCAGTTCCGCGATTTCGTCTTCCTTTGCATCTAGAGCGACAGACAACTGGTTGACTTCTTCGTCTTTTGAATTTAATGCTGCCTAAATCATCTCAAACATCAAAAAATACTTTAAAGATGTGATATGAAATCTCACTTTAGTTTTTTCGTGGGCAACCCGCTCAGCATCGGCCTCAGATTGAACGAATTTCAGCTCTTCCATGTATCTGCAACAGTGCTCTCAAATAGTAGTATCACCCTCTGTATAAACAGCGCATACCTGCTTTTAAGTGCGTTTAATTCATCTTCTTGTGCCCTTCCCGTTCTCGTGTTGGCCTCTTCCAAGTTAGCAATGATCTCCTTAAAAAAACCTTGTTGATAAAATCGGTTTAGCCAAACTTTTCCATGCGTACAACATCAATAGCAATTTATTTTTGTCAAAAGGAGAGAATCATCTCTTCAGTGCAGTAGTGATTCTTGCACGA